CGGGCACCGGCTCCGACCCGGCGCGCGGGGAGGGCGGGGCCTCGGCTGCCCGCCCCCGGCTGGCGCGGCGGGGCGGGGCGGGGCGGGGCGGGGCGGGGCCTGGCACGCCCACCTGGCCGTGGGCGCGCGCGGCCACCTGCGGGCCTGCTCGCAGCTGCGGGTCCCCGCCCCGGCCCCGCGGCGGCGGCGCTCCTGGCCCCCAGGCTCGGGAATGACCCGCAGGCTGCTGTCCGCGGACGGTCCCGCGTGTCCCCCGGAGGAGGCACAGACTCACCTCCTCACCTGTCCCAGCAGGTGCGCTAGACCTCGCGGCCCTGTGCCAGGGCAGAATGGGCGGGCTAGAAGGCAAGGGCCCCGGGGCCGGTGGTCCCCCCAACCCTCAGGAAGCAGCCGGAGACCCCAGCCCCAGGTCCAAACCTGGGAGGGGGTTGGAGTGTCCTTTCCCCCTGTCGTTTCAGCAGGATCCGTCAGGACCTCACCGCCAGGAGGGGGAGTACTGTGATCATCGTGCCCACTCTGCGGTTGGGCAAACGGAGGCCCTGAGATAGAAGTTATCTGCCCTAAATCCCAGAGCCTCTCTGACAGAGGCTGCCCTGGGATGCCAGTGGGTAGGGGCCTGCGGAGGCTTCCAGGAGCCCCTGGGCCCACAGAGTTCTTCGTCCCCCACCCCGTCAGATGCCACCTGTCCCTGGGAGCCTTGACCTCACCCCCCTCTCCCTTTTTCTCTTCTAGACTCCCACGGGAAAGACCCTCTCTTGGGCATCTTGAAGCTTCTTGCTGGGAGGTGGCATATGGCAAAGACTTGAACTGCTAGTTTCTGAGCCCTGTGCCCTGGGAGGCCCTGAGCTCCTCCGTCCAGTCCCTGGCGACCCTGTGGCTGCAGTGAGGTCAGGGAGCAAAGACACGGGGAGGCAGCTGTTTCAGGGGAGATGCCCAGCGGCTCCCACCTTGGCGCTGCCGCTGGGACCGGCATGCCATCCAACACACGGGGTGCCCGTGGGCTCCAAGCCCCTGGCACAAACTAACTCATGGGACGTCACACCATCAGAGCCACGGGGGAGGTGTGCCGCACCTCAGTTACCCAGAGCGGCAGGACTTCCCAAGTGCCGGAGCCAGTCACGACCGATTCTCCAGCGCTGACAAGCCTTCCCAGCTCTGCTCAGTGACACCCTGTGGTGCTGGGAGCTTTTGCACCGTGGAAACGGGCAGATGCCACAGATCAGGACTTCTCCCCTCAGAGAATGGTTCCCCAGTGTGCTGGCGCTGGGCTGGGCAGCTGGTACATGCCTTCTGAATATACCCTCCAGTCGTCACATCTACCTTGTGTCCAGCCCAGAGCCCAGACAAAGACAACATCCAACACCAGCTCCACTGGCCTGAGACCCTGTGAGACAGGGATCTGAGCACGACCTCCCAGGGTGGGGGCCAGCCAGGCTGAGGTGGGGCTGCTGAGGATCTTTCTGTCTGGAGCCTAGAGACCCCGAACCTTGCTCTGCCATTTGCATGACCTTGGGTGAGTCCTGCTGTAGCAAGTCTCAGTATCCCCCGCAGAACTGGCCTGGCCATCCTAGTTTGTCTACCTCAAAAGACTGCCAGTTCCTCCAAGACGCCATCAGTCCTGGAGGGCACCCCGAGTCCCAAGCCTGTTCGTGCTGGGCACACCCAGGCCTGTCCAAGGGAAAACTGAAAAGAGGTGGAACTAAGCCTGCTGTGGACAGACTCGAGGCAGTCTGGCCTCCTCCCTGCTTCCTGGGCCACAGTGGCAGCAAGCGAGCATCGTGCCCGTGTGGTGATGGAGGAGATGGCTGGACATTCACAGCATCGCCTGGAGGCTCTGTCCACCCCCAGCTGACAGATATGCACGGCATGGCAGCACCCCCACATTGCCTTCAGGGAGTGGGGAGAACCTGTCCCTGACTGAGGACTACATGCTCTCTGAGCCCTTAGGGGTGGCTTCAGGCAGCCATGCTTAAGTCCCTCCAGTGACAGGGAGCTCAGTCCCTCTGCTGACTCATGACCATTGGAGTCCATGGCTAAGCAGCTAGTAGACAGGTCACAATCCTCTTTTGCAAGGACCCTCGGGCTGGGCTCAGGAGCAGGTCCTAGGATCCAGGAAGGACCAGACCTTGGGACCAGGGCTTTGCCAGGATCATGGTTGTTAGATTGCTTGGCACCTCTGAGCCTCCTTGCCCAGCTCTGATGGGGAAAACAAGCACCCCTGTCTGCTCTGCTGGGTGTCCTGAGGCTCCCACAAGCCAGGGCTGCAGGACCCTGTGCAAACTGCCTGGTCCCGGTGGGCGCTGGCAGTGTCTGTCCCCTGCCTGGATCCGCTGCCTCCATGGCTGTCAGGCCAAGGGGCACCATTACCTCCGTGCCATCGAGGAGTAGGCTGAGGCCCAGTACTGAGACTTTTCAACCTCAGTAGTTTGCTCAAGGCCACAGAACCGCAGCCCGTGCCCCTCCCCTCCACAGCTGTCAACTTGGCTCCCCAAGACTCCAGTGCCAGGGAGCCCTAAGCAGGCTGTCCTGGTGCCACAGCCTGGCCAGGCCGGTGGGGCCCTGAGGCTCACTTCCAGAGCCAGGACCCAAGCAGGCCACACGGCTGTGGCATCACACGGCTCTTCAGGAGATGGACATAATGGTGATGACCAAGGACTTCTGCAAGGGAGGGCAGGGTCTAGCCTTGCCCCCAGAGAGCCCATTGCCAGGTACTTTTGGGGTAGGTCTGCCTCTGAGTGGACTCCAGCAGGATGGAACTGTAGGTGGTCTTGTGGTCAGGCACAGTGCAGCCAGGCCACCTCCCACTGTCCCCCCCACCCAGGCCACAGCACAGGGAGGTGGCCCCTCACCACCAGGGGCTCCTCCAAACACCACAGACTCACTCAACAACTGTGTGGGGCCCGCCACAGGTGCAGGTGAGACCTCAGGGCCGGAGTGGGTCCTATGGGGGCAGGGCAGACCTCTCAGGACCTGAAGGTAGGGTGTTAGGGGCAGGCAGGTGGGGTGGGAGTCATGTGGACCTCTGAAGCTGGGGCTCCTGGTCCCTGTGAAGTGCGTGTGGGCTGGGAGGGCAGAGGGTGGGGCCCCGCTGCCCTAGCCCCTCAGGAAAGCCTCCCCAATTCGATGGGGGATGTGAAGTTCTGTAACATAATCTCCATTTTTGTTCTTCTAATTAATATGATTCTATAACATTTCCTTTACATCCTAATTTTAAAACGTGGTTTAAAAAAAAAATAACAGTTTCATTGGAGGACACCCGGGGACTCCATCAGTTGAGCCTCCAGCTCTTGGTTTTGGCTCAGGTCATGATCTCAGGGTCCTGGGATCGAGCCTCGCGTCAGCCTCCGTGCTCAGCATGGAGTCTGCTCAAGATTCTCTCTCCCTCTCCCTTCCCCCTGCTTGTGTGTGCAATCAATCAATCATAATTGCATTGGGATATAATTCACATTCCTGAAAATTCACTCTTCTAAAGTGCATAACTCTGTGGTCTTCAGTATATTCAGATGTTGCAACCACCACCACCATCTCGTTCCAGAACATCTTCACCCCCCAGAACAAGATGTCACTCCCCACCCCTGTCTCTCAGCCCTGGGCAGCCAGGAATCACCCCTGTCCCTCAGCCCTGGGCAGCCAGGAATCTGCTGTCTGTGGATTTGCCTGTTCGGGACTTCTCATGTCCCCAGAGTCACACAGCGCCAGGGCCTCTGTGACCAGCTGCTCTCCCTCAGCACGCCTCACTCCGCGCGGGTCAAAGGTGCATCATGCTCCGCTCCAAATAATATTCTGTCGTACGGTGACAGACAATGATTTTCTTAAGAGCTCGTAGTCAGGGGCGCCTGGGTGGCTCAGTTGTTAGCCATCTGGCCTCGGCTCAGGTCCTGGTCCCAGGGTCCTGGGATCAAGCCCCGCATCGGACTCCCTGCTCCGCAGGAAGCCTGCTTCTCCCTCTCCCACTCCCCCTGCTTGTGTTCCTCTCTTGCTGTGTCTCTCTCTTTCAAATAAATACAATCTTTAAAAAAAAAAAGCTCATAGTCATTATAGGAAATTTGCAAAACAGAAAAAGTGGAAATAGAAAATTTTAAGCTGTCCCTGTGTGCTACCAAGTAAGTGTGCACCCCCGGTCCCCGCGGCTGTGCACGCGGGAGACGTTCAGCAGGTGCCCATCACAGGAGCCCATCACCATTTGAACCTTTTTCCCCTATGCAGAGTTGCTATTATTTGATTTTCCTCAGGAAGTTTCACAGCAAATGCTAGGTCACCTGGCCTGTTGAGCTCAGTCCAGAGAACAAGGCTTCAGACGTGCTGGGTCACACAGGCCTTGGAAACCTTCCCACCTGTGACCCCTCTGTCAGCACCTCTGTCTGTGAGGCCATGGAGCTCAGGCCCTGCTCTTGCAGCCTTTGTCCCCCGCCCACTTCTGCCCAGCCCCAGGGGGACCCACAGCCCCCCCTCGGCTGGGCGCTGTGGGTGTATGTGCAGGGGGGAGGTTGGAAGGGTTCTATCCGCATCTCCTGGATGTGCAGAGAGTGGTGCACAAAGATGTTCACTGACGGATAGTTTATAAAAGGCATTATGAATGCTGTAAATGTCCGGCAGCTGCAAATGGGCAGGTAGACTACATTCGACATGATCAAATAGGACAAAGCCTCTTAGATACTCTTCCTAGAGTGCTCTGACCCAGGAAGTGATAAGAGGTCATGCCCAGTGACGCAGCAGGAGGAGACCTGGAGGGAGCAGAGGGTGCTTCCGCTTTTGTGCATTTTCCTGCACGTGGGACGAGAGGTAGCTCCCCCTAACGTCTGCCAAGACTTTGGGAAAGGTGCCCGGACAGACGGAGGCATGCCCTGAAGGGGGGCTCGCAGAGGGCAGAGTCTGGAGGCGCTTCCTTCTAACCCTGGCACCGCCCACTGGCCGTGACCTTCAGCCCATCATGGGTGGATTGCTCTGAGCTGCAGCTTCTGTGTTAGTCCTCCCGGGGCTGGGGGTGGGGGGTGCTGGAGGAATCAGCTGAAGGACTGAAACGCGCTGGCTCTCCTCCGCTCTGGCCGGCTCCTGCCTGTGCGTCTCTCTCCTTGCCCGTGGGACCTGCCTGTGGAGACAGGAATAGCCCCTGATTCAGGAGGGCCGCCGGCTCCCCATTTCCACAGGCTTCCACAGAGTCTGTGCTCAGGGCCACAGAGCCGGTGGGAGGGGGCATGTGGAGGGAGCAGAGAGGAGGAGGGTGGGAAGCCAGGCAGACACATGTCTTGGCACTTGCCTGACAGGCTGGGCGGGGGTCCTCAGGTCAGAGCCCAAGCCACTGTCCGGGCCGGGCTCCGACCTGTGGCCAAGACACATTGTCCTGCCAACTGGGGCCGCAGGGCTCGCAGGGCTCTCTTCTGCCTAGAGTCTGCACTTGGCACTCAGCGGGCCCCATGCAAGCCCAGGGGGGGCCACACACCCTCCATGTGACCCACAGGAGGCTTTTTCCATCGGGCTGTCTACCATGGGGTTTTCCAGCACACTC